TTGGGGACTTCAGGCTGGGCAGGCCTGTGCGCTCATGAACAAAGAGACATCATCTGGGAATAGGGAGATACCAGAACTGGCTGGCAACTCCAGGGTCTGCTCTGACTGGCTCTTCTCTACTGCCCTTCACTCTTGTCCTATCCACCTAATCATAGAAACTCATGGCTGCAACTCCATATGTGGCCAGTAGGGGGTAGGCTTCACCTCACAGGGACTGGAAAGATGAACAACCTTTCCACACAGAATGCCTTTACATTCCACAGACCTTGGTCCTAGGCTTCTGGCCACCAAGCATCCTTATCATCAGCCTAGAAGTTCCACTGCCAATGATTTTAGGCCCAAAGGAGAAAGAACCCTTGCTAACCATCCCCAGCATTCAATATATCAGCCATTCACATTTTAGTATGAATGAGGCAACACCTTCTCCCTCCCCTTCCCAGCTCAGCAGCCACAGCTCAAGTGAAACTCTATTAGTCCATTTAATGGGAGGAGAGGTGTGGGAATCGATGTAGAATAAGAAACCCCAGAGTAGGGTAGTAGGACAGAGGTGGGGGTAGGATTCGAGAGGAGGCATCAGAGAAGGAAAGTGGGAATCTTGCCAAAGAGAGGCTTCACATCTGTCCATCCCTTCACAGTCAACAAAACACAGTCACAAAAAGTCTTCAAATTCTCACATTATCCTGTTTTCCAGATGGGGGAACCAAGGCTCTAGACCACACAGGAATCAGGTCTCGTAGCTCCTAATACATGTGCCCTGCCTCTGACTTGTCCCCACACTCCACTCCTGAAGAGAGCAGGAAGGTCTTGATCATAAATTAGGGAGGGGCCCAAATTTATGATTTTCTGACAGCTTCCTTCCTCCCATGTCTCCCCTCCAGCTCTGGTCCCAGTACCAGGAGGAAGGACCGAATTGGGTGACAAGAGCAGCTCTGTGGACCATAAATAACTCTGCCAGGCAGCTGCAGGCTGGCCAGGTCCCCCAGCACCTCCACCCCAGCCCAGCAGGTTGCTCCCTGCTTTGAAACAGACAGGCAGCAGGGCAGGCCCCCCTTCATTGTTCCCTAACCTGGAAATACTTGGGGAAGGACCGGCCCTCCAGCCCTGCCTTTTGTCTGGGCCGCAGCTTGGAAGGCTGCTGGTGTGGACAGGGCCCCTCCCCTTTTATACCATTCAGGCGCTTTCCTGGTGGCCATCATGCCTGGGCCCTTGAGGCATTTGGGGGCTGTCTTCAAGGTCCTGGGTCTTCTCACCACCACCCCCTAGGCTCTTTCTTACCTTTAGAAAGGACACCATATTGGTACCTATCAGATAGCCCAAGCCAGAGAGGCTGTTCTGGGGGACACATTCCATGTAGAGGAAGGAGCCACATGGGAGGAATGAGGGTCTAGGTGTTACCCCATGGGAGTTCCCAAGGAAAGGAGGCTGTGGCTCAGGTTTGTTTGCTGTGAAGAGAAAAGCATTTCCTGTTTGGACTACACCAGGATGGACACGTCCGTGAATCTGCAAGAGAAGAGGCTGCAGTTCCCAGACCTGGGAGGTTGTGTGTGTCCAAGTTCATGACCCTGTGTGGCCCACACGTGTGATTCCAGGTCTGTGTGTGTGAGAAAACAATAAGGGCTACCTAAATCTGAACCCAGTTGCCTCTCTTCCCACAGAAGCCCCCTGCTAAGGGCTGTGCCTGAGGGAGGCAGTGCGGCCTGCTGGGTAAGACAAGGGTCAACACACTCACTCTCTAGCTGTGGGCCCTCAAACCAGCCCCTCTTCCCCCTGAGCCCACACCTGGGGACAATAAGAGTAGTGAAGAGGAGGGACGAAGACAATGTAAGCAAAGTGCTTAGCACAGCGCCTGGCACAGGGTCAGCGCTCAGGAAACGGAAGCTGGTGTCCTTATTGGCGGTTGTGGTCTGGTCTTGGCAACATTGCAGACCAGGCCCCCAAGGAAGAGGCCCCACCCACAGGGCCAGGCCTTAAGACCTCCAACCAGTGGGCCCCTCTTGTCTCCATCTCTAGCATACACTGAAACCTCAAATGACCAAAACCCAAGCCTTTGAGGCATTTCCTGCCTCCACTCTGGAAGGAAAGAGGCTGAGGACCAGAAAGCAGACTGAATGTCACCAGGAAGGTGTGACTTTAAAGGGGACTATGCCCCAGGACCACTGCAGGGTGGTCAGAGTCTTATATACTTTCCAGAAGCACAGACCCTTGAGCAACAGAGATCTTTTAAAGACCCAATGATTCATTTTTTCCAGACAAGGAAAGGAGGCTTACAGTGGGGAAGTGATTTGCCACACAGTGCCTAGGTGATTGCTCAGATGCTGATGCCAAGACCTGTGGGGCACTGAGTTTGTGTGATAATCACCAGAATGCACTGCCATAGGTCTAGCTCTAATTATAAATAAACATCTAGACCTGGTGTGCTGGACCGCACGGTCGGCAGTTCAAACCCACCAGCTGCTCCTCAGAAATGCTATACAGGGTCACTATGAGTTGGAACCCACTCTATGGCACTTAACAACAGTCCACAGTAAGGACAGGACCCTCTTTGAAGATAAAATGTCAATAATGGCTTTTACAGAGAGAGTCCCTTTGCTGGAGCAATCCCACTGACAGCTCCTATAAGGTTGGTGGCACTGGTAAAGGAATGTGTATGTCATCACAAACATCTCAGACATGTTGCAAAGGGGTCCCAGACACCTCTCTGTCCTTCTGAGGCATCTCCTGGATGGAAGTCACTGCCCAACACTTTTACTCCCTAAAGATTTGTGTCCCCTTCAAAGTAGCCCCTTGGAGTGATGCCTTTGTTTTTTTGAATCCCAATAAAACTTTATTTGTAAAGACAAGTTATGAGCCATGGTTTATTGGCCCTTGCTCTTGAAGAGCATCACCTTTTTTTTTTTTTAATTGTGGCTTTCATTTGTAACGATATTGTGTTCACATATATAACAAAAAGCTTGTCATTTTAACCAATTTTAAGTGAATAATTCCATGCCATAAGGAGCTCTGGTAGCATAGTGGTTACGAATCAGGCTGTGAACCGCAAGGTCAACAGTTCGAAACTACCAGCGGTTCCGCGGGAGAAAAATGAGGTGTTCTGCTCCCATAAAGATTTACAGCCTCGGAAACCCTGTGCAGGGTCGCTATGAGTCGGAACCGACTCCACGGCACTTAACAACAACAACAACAACAACAATTCCATGCCATTAATTATATTCACCGTGTTGTGTTCCTGAGGTGATGGTTTTTGAGCCCAGCCCCTCAACCGAGTCCTCAGACAGACCCCAGGATCCTCCTGAGAATGGTCCCTCAGTGGGAAACCAGAGTCAAAAAGCTGCTTTTTGAGGGTAGTGGGGCTCACACAGATATACAGAATAGGTGTCAAACATCACGCATGGAAGAAGGTAGGCAGATCTCCAAGGGGGTAAAAGTTGGTTCAGTATTGATATCATGGAAGAAGTAGGGGGCCCTTGGGCATCATGTACAGAGGGAACCATGTATGCCAATCTTACCCACACCTTTATAATGAAGGTAAAACTACCCTCCACCCAGAGGAGAATCTGAGCCCAGACAGGGACAGGATTTGCCCAAGAGGCTAAGAAAGGGCAGAGGCAGGATTTGGACCCAGCTCTCCCTGCCCACACCATGTCAGTCCCAACAGAAAGGGAGAAATGGTCCTGGTCTTTTGGGGATTCTGGGTTCCCTCTGATGAAAGCTTTAGTCCCTCTACATAAATAGGCACTCCTATCTCAGTTCATATCACACACATGCACACAAGTATCACATACATGTAGTATACACATCACGTGCTCATGACCCCCTTCACATACATCATACACATCACACATACATCACACACTCATCCAACAAACATTACACGTACAGTTATCACACACATGCATCACACATCACATACGCATCAAACACAAATCATACATATCCCATACACACACATACTACATACTTGCATACATCTTTATGGAATTTACTGAGCCGCCTGCCTGGTATCCCACATGAGAAACTCCACATGTTGCTAACCCTTACTAGGTGAAGCTGGTGGCACTCTTCCCTAATTGTGGCTAAGAGCTCTGGAATCAAGAGATCTGGGTTCAGATCCTAGCTCTGCCAGTCACTGGAAGTGGGGTTTAGACAGATAACATCTCTCTGAGTCTCAGTTTCTTCATCTGTAAAATGGTCCACACTGCACTTACAGGGTCTATGCAGGGCCTGGCTTCCAGTCTTCACCTCCCAGGGGGATTGTGAGTACCTGAGCCTGAGTGTTCTCATCTGTGAAATGGGAATAACTAATGTCTACCTGACTCACAATCAAAGAAGCTCTGGTGGCACAATGGTTAAGGTCAGTGGTGGGCGCCAAAGCATGAGGTGGCAGTAGATTTCCGGCCCTGGAAACCCTGTGGGGTAGTTTTACTGTATCCTACAGGGTTACTGAGTTGAAATCAACTCCATGGCAATGGATTTGGTTTGGGTTTAGTTTGGAGCATGAGACTGAGCCGGGAGGTGACGTGCCCGCATACAGTGGGGCCTTAATATTCACGAAGCTTTGGTTAGATGGATGGGAGACCGGTGCATCTTATGTGCCGGATCCCACAAAGATGTGGATTCACCCACATTCACCCACCCCCATAATTCCTGAAGGCGTGGCGAGATCGAGATCGGATCCTGGCTATGGCTGTTTTCCAGCTGGTACCGCGCCCTCAAAGGGCCAAGCGGTGCGGGAGGCCGGGCTCAGGTGGGCACCTGGCCGGCCTCTTGACTGGGGCGCCCGGCCTCCCCCCCCCACCCCCCAGCTCCTTCCGGGTTGGCAGCCGCGCGCTAGAGGGCTGGGGGCCAGCGCCAAGGGGCCAGGGCAGGCCAGAACGAGAGCTCCCGCCCCCTACCCGCCTCCGCCCGCCCCCTGCCGCTCGGCGGGGAACTGGGCTTCGCGAGCGTCCGGGGCGGCTGGCGGCGGCGAGCGGCGATTGCCGGGCTGAGGGGCCGGGCGCAGCATGGGCGGCCCACGGGCCTGGGCGCTACTCTGCCTCGGGCTCCTGCTCCCAGGGGGCAGCGCCGCGTGGAGCATTGGAGGAACCCCGTTGTCAGGACGCAGGTAAGGTCTGGGATCTCCTCAACCAGACTCCGGGCACCCCCCAACTTCGGTGCAAGCCCAGGATTGGGAAAGGGACTCCTGTACCCCTCCATGGGGTCATTCGGGAATGGGGACCAGGTCGACAGACCAGCCTGATATCTAGTCCTGTCTCCAGGGATTGCAGGGATCCCGATACCCGGGAGTCTCCTTCAACTCTTTCCTGCCGTTCAGTTCCCCAGAGCCCAAGAGGAGGAGAAAGGGGAGTAAGGAGGACAAGTCCCCAAGACTTTCTCATCGTGGCCCCAAAGACCCTTTTCCTAAATATGGGAAAGGCCTAGGACACCCCCTCGCGGTCCCCCTCCCCTTTCCCCTGCTCTGGCTTTTTTTAACCCGGCTATTTATTTCTTTCTGAGGGAAAGACTGGGGTGGGGCCTCAGAGCACGTGGGTCACTGTCTGCCCCAGGGACCAGGCATTTTGGACAGAGATTGAATCTTCCCAAGGCCGGGAACTGGGAGCTGGGAACATTCCCAACTGGCCTGGTTGGAGCATCTCCCAATACCTGCTCTGTGCTGGGTCTTAGATTGATGTTTCAAGGACTGAATGGAGTAAGGAGATTGGTCCCCATTTAACAGATGAACAAGCTGAGGCTGAAGAAAATAAGCATCATCTTCTAGGCTCAAGGGCAATTGATGGAAGAACTGGGACACCAATCTGGGTGGCTCTGACCTTAAGCACTGCGTGGAACCCGCTGTCCTGTCTGTAGCCCCCGCCCCTGCGGGGTCTCCTCTCAAGACCGCTGCTGTTGTCCAGAGCAGACAATACCGACTGACCAGGCCTCTCCAGTCTTTTTCATGCTTTCATCTCATTCAAAGGCCTGCCCAGCCTCCACACCCCTACGGCCTCAATTCTATAATGCTTTTCAGAAATTCCCTTTTCCCAAGGATCAGAGGCCAGCACCCTTCCCTGCCCCCCACCTCCTTCCAGGCTAGCAGGACCAGGTAAGATGGGTAGAGGTGGCCTAGAATCAGAGGCTAGAAGAGCAGTACCCCAAAGCTTGGATGAGTGGTAGGTGCCATGGCTTCCGACTGTTATGCCAGATTGTGGCTGGCCTGGGCTATCACATCCAGAATCTCCCCAATCAGCATATTTTTATGGTCCTGTTTCCTAAAGGAGGCTGAGGCTCAGAGAGGGGATATGACCTGCCCAAGGCATGGCTGTGAGTCCTGGATCCCAGGATGCTAATCAAGAGGGCATAAAGCCCACTCCCCTCCATACAGGGCAGGACAGAGCCTCACAGCCAGGCCCCCTTGTTGTTGTTAAGCGCCATCAAGTGGGTTCCAACTCATAGCTAACCTGTATAGGGTTTCCAAGGAGCCGCTGGTGGGTTTGAACTGCTGACATTGTGGTTCAAAATCCAGTTCTGAATCTACAGCGCCACACCAGGAGTCCTTGTCCCCTAGCATTTCTTAAGTGGGAGGTAGACAGAAGGGGCCTGGGGCTATGGGCAAGTGCCTAGTGGTCACAGAGGACCCTTACCCTCTCTACTCAACAGGAGGCTGTAACAGCAGGCTAAGCATTCCATAGACGCTGTAGGCAATGCTGTTGACCCCATTTTACAGATAAAAAGACTGATACCTAGTGAGACAAGAGAGACCTGAATCTAGGCAACTCCATTTCCAAATCAAGTATCCTTTTCATCCAAAGAGCCCTCCTAGAGGTCAGATTTGGGGGGGAGGGGTGAGTTTCAGAGAAAGATTTACAGGTCATGATTTGGAATTAGGGGCTCTGCTTCAGACAGAACAGGGGTTTTACTCCTAGCTCTGTTGTTGCCCACTTAATGTATGACCTCAAGCAGGTCACTTCATAGCCTTAAGCCTCAGTTTTTCTCTCTGTAAAGCAGGGGTGATAATGTCACTTCCCGGGCTTATTCTGAACATGGAGTCTGACACACAGGAGGTTTTATCATGATTCCTATATTGTCAACATTAAGTGGGGGGAGGGATCCTGACACGGGAAAGTCTGGGCCTCCATTGCCAGGACCTGTCCCCATGGCCCCCATCCCAGGTTGTCAAAGATAGCATGGGGATGTTATGCACCATCAGCCCGCCCCCTCCACCTCCAGCCCAATGCCCCAGGCACCCCTTGGCAGCCAAGGGACCAGAGATAGAAAAGAGGCTTTGTGCCTGGGGAGGGGAAGGCCTGGGAAGGCATCCAAGGGGCCGCCCCCAGCCCTAGGAATGTGGTGAGACTTTGGGACCCCGTAACCAGGGCTCCTACCTTGCTCACTCCTGCCCTGAAGTTCCCCCAGTCTCTGCAGAGCAGCTTTCTACCCCCTCCAGGATCCATCCCAGCCTGAACTGTGGTTTCCTCTGACAATCTCAGTACTGTGGTTCTAAGATTCAAGCTATCACCAGTGTCCTAGCCCATGCCTCTACCTACTCCAGCATCAACTTCCTTTGGGTAAATCCTAGAACCAAGAAAATGGAGAACTATAAGATGAATGGACTCTTCCACAGCCCCTCTCCATGGGTCAAATCCCGGCTCTACACCCATTGTGTAATATGGGCAGGTGACTTCTTAGAGCCTCAGTTTCCCTCTCTGTAAAGTGCTTCACCACTAATTGTTGTCTAGTTGACCCCAAATCATGGCAACCCCATGTGTGGTTGAGTAGAACTGTGCTCCATAGCGTTTTTAATGGCTGATTTTGGGGGGAAACAGAGTGCCAGGCTTTTCTTCTGTGGAGCCTCTGGGTGGATTCAAACCTACAACCTTTCAGTTAGCAGCCAAGCACATTAACAGTTTCAACCATCCAGGGACTCGTCTATAAAATGCAGAGCCTGTCATTTAATGTTCCACAGTTGACGGAAGGACTTGGGAGGGAAGTTGCATACAGGTATCCCTACGTCCTAGAGAGCTGGGCCTGTGTCTACCTGCAGTCCAGGAACCAGAATTAGCAATAGCTGCTAGCATGCACGCATCAAGCACTTGTCATTAAATCACCCTGCTGGATGAGATTCTACTGTCCCCATTTGCAGATGGACAAAGTGAGGTCCAGAGAGGGCCCAGGCATTGTCCAAGGTTATGGGGTTAGGAAAGAGCCAAACCAGGACAGGATGTTGCCTCCAGTGTAAGGTTCTGGTTCTGGGCTCCCTGCCTCCACTAGCACACCCCCTTTCTTTCCTCTCCTTTTCATAACAGCCCTTGGCCCCCAGCCTGTTTGGCTGCCTCCTGCAATTAGCCCCTATCACTGTTCCGGATCGCAGCCCAGGGCCCCACAGAGACAAAGTCCCCGGGGCCCCTCATGGCAGGGGTGGAAGCGGGTGGGGGACTCCAGTGGGGACAGCCAGTGCCAGGCTAAGCTGGTCTGGCCTGTTTCCCCCCTCCCTGGGGGTTCAGGGAGTCCAGGAGGTACTAAGTGGACAACCATGGCTGCCCAGAGGAGAAACCTATCTCCTCCAACCCCGCCCCTCACATATCCCACAGGAGGCTGCTTATCAATGGACTCTTCAGCAGCACATCACTGACCACATCCACCCCAGAAAAGGAAGTCCCAGGAATAGAAGGAATGAAGGGGAGCTTCCTCAACCAGCTCTTCTCTGGTCTCCCTCATCCCATCATCCAGCAAGCACCCATGAATGCCGTCAGCCAAACCTCAGACTAACTGGGTCCCTGCTGAACCTTCCTCCCAGCACCAGGGGCTGAGGAAGACCCTCAGGCCTGTTGTGGGTGTCTGTGTGGGCACATGGTGTACCTAACCCCACCTGGGTCTTCTGGGAGACTGAGATCCAAAAGATGAATCAGTTTGCTGGGGCAGGCGAGGGACTTTCCAGGCAGAGAGACCTCATGTGCAAAGGTCCTGAAGTGTAGGAGGAAGGGTAGGAAGGTGAGAGAGGAGATATGGAGGCTGTCAGGGAAGGTAATGGGGAGCTCTAGCAGGTGGGAGCTCCTTGCGGGGTGGTGGCAATGATAGGTGTGGGCAGTAGAAAGAGCCTCCAAGTGGGTAGAGGGTTGACTGTGATTATGTATCTCTATGGGCCTTCTTGGGCCTGTCTGTGTGCCATGAGAGGCCCTCTGAGTGTTTGTGAGTAGCACAGCCCTGTGTCTGCAGGTGTGAATGCATGTACCCAGAGGACGGGCATTCCTTAGGCTATCTGTTCTGTAGGATTTGCCTTTGTGTGCACATATGGATTTGTGTGTGCTTGTGTATGTGTCGGTGCACATTTGTGTGTGTGTCTTCCCAGTGCTGTATGTGTGCATGCATTTACATATGTGCACTTTGTGTGTGTTTGTTTGTTTACATCTGTACATTGGCATGTAGTAGGCATTCCATGCCCAGGGATTCCCCCAACTTACCTGGCATTTAGACCTCTCCCCACTCGCTTCCTGGCTTCTTCCCTTACTCCCCACACCCTCAGGTCAGTCTAGGAACCTCACCCAGACTACACGGAACTCACCGCCCCCTGAACTTGGGTACCAGGTTGTATGCATTTTGGTGGGGAGGAGCCATAATGCACTTCAATTTCCCAAAGAATTTATGCTCTCCGGAGCAAAACCCCATCTCTAGAGATCTAGAGAATCCAAGGAGGCAGGGACTTTTTTGAAGTTCATCTTTTTAAACTTATCAAATTCTCACTTGTTCATTATGAGAAAAATCTCCAACCTAAGGTTAAGTCCTGAACTCCAACTATGACTGTGATGCTCATCCTGGAGGCCCTGGGTATGTCACCAGTCTCCAGAGCCTCAGTTTTCCCATCTGTAAAGTGACCATTTAATGGGGTGTGATAGTTCAGGTATGCTAATGCATGGAAGAACCTGGTGCCTGGTACACAGCAAGCGTGATAAACAATGGCTCCTATTAAAATAGACTAAGAAGAAAAGCCTGGGAATCTGCTTCCCAAAATTAGTCAGTGAAAGCCCTATGGATGTCGACAGAACACTGTTTGATATAGTGCTGGAAGATGAGCCTGTCTTTAGGTTGGAAGGCACTAGAAATACAACTAAGGAAGAGCTGCCTCCTCAAAGTAGAGTTAACCTAAATAACGTGAATGAAATAAAGCTTTGGGGACCTTCATTTGCAGATGTGCACTACTCAGAATGAAAAGGAACAGCAGCAAACACCCATTAGTAATCAGACCATTGGATGTGGGATGTACAGTACGTAGATGGACACTGGACCAGGCTCTATTTCGTTCTGTTACACATAAGGTTGGAGCCAGCTTGGTGATAACTACACACCAACAGCTGTTACTGTAGGACTCAGAGCAGACAGAACGCCCCACCCATACCCAGACATGGCAATTTGATGTGCATGCACAATTTTTCCTAATTGTATATATGTGCATACGTGTATAAATCGTTCTTTGGCTCACTCTCGCTCTCTTTTTTGAACAGCAGTGCAATCATTCTGTGATTTGTGATCTGTGCTTACTTTTCCCCCTGAGCTAGGTATGATGGATGGTTCAAGAATCCGTACATGGGCTCAGCAGCAATGTCAGGTTTTCTGTGTCTGGTTCTTCCCTAGCCATCTCGGTTGTCCCCGTTTTGTGTGGTTAGCCACCGTGCTGCAGCAAGCTCCTATCCCCTCTGCTGTGGAGACAACCATTTCCTTGGACCAATTGGAACCAGGGCTTCACCCAGTCTTCCCACCTCACTCCTCTGTCCAGGTGGTTTCCTTGCCCTGAGCTGATTCTGGTTGACACTCAAAGGTGTAAGGACTTCCCATGGGTCCCAACCAAGAACTTTCTCATTCTCATGGATGGGGTGGGGGCAGGGCAGCAGCAGGAAGGATGGAGGTGGGGTGGGCACCTCCCAGGTGGCTGGGGCATTCCAGCTGCTCAGCAGCCCTCAGCCCGACACAGGGTCAGGGCTAGAGGACAAGGGAAGGTTTCAGATAACCCTCTTCAGCCTAAGCTCCCCACGCAAACTTCCCTTTGTGGCCTCAGCCCAGGGTCAGTAGGTTCCCAGACTGGGGCCCCTCACAGAGTCATGGACTGAGGCTGGAAGAGATGGAAGGATTTGTGCATCTGCAGAGAGGGGTCAGAGGCCGAGCTGGGCCATCTACATTCCCCAGTTCAAATCCTGGCCCCACCATGCACCAGCTCTTGTGCAGTTGTCTTCACCCCCCTGAACCTCAGGGTTTCCTCTGTGAAATGTGGGAGGGTGGTGTAAATGCCTATGGCATACCATAGATGCTCAGTATGTGCAGCTAGGATTGTGAGTTGGTCATTGGATGAGAAGTCTGTCTTCCGATGACACATCCCGGCTTTCACACCTAGAGAACTTGGAGATGGGTGAGACAGGGGACCAGACACAAACCTGCAGCTTCATTCAGCCCAGTGGATATGTGGCCAATGGACCCAGGGCAGGGACCTTGGCTCTGTGAGGGTGCAGGTGGGGAAGGACTCTGGGAGAGAAAACGGAACAGGCACACTTTGAAGGTAATGGTTAAAGGAGTCCCTGGGTAGTGCTGTAGGTTAGGCATTGGGCTGCTAATCGAAGGTCAGCAGTTCAAATCCACTAGCCGCTTCTGAGGAGAAAGATGCGGCTGTCTCCTCCTGTAAAAACTAACATTCTCGGAAATCCTAAGGAGAGTTTCTTCTCTGTCCTACAAAGATCACTGTGATTCAGAATTGCCTCAGTGGCAGTAGGTGAGTGGTGCACATGGTTAAGCACTCTAATACTAGCTGAACAATCTGGGAAGATGGGCTTGGAAACCTTCAGAAAGGTCACAGCCTTGAGAACCCTATGGAGCAGTTCTGCTGTGTCCACATGGGGGCGCCGTGATTCAGAATGAATTCCACAGCACCTAAGAGCAATGGGGGCTAGGTGGAGAAGTGGGGGAAGGGCAGCACAGGCAGTGAGCCAACGAAAACCTGTAGGTGTGGGAATTAATGGCAGGCGTGTGAAGAGAGGTTCCAAGTGAAGGTCACTGTCCAATCCACATGTTACAATAGCCCATCTAGAGGGATGTTGGAGAGGAGAGGACAGAGGGCCACTGCTGTTGGCCAGGGAGAGGCAGGAGGCTGTGAGGACCTGGATGGGTCAGGGTTAGAAAGAAAACATCTAATGCTGACTAAACACCCTGCCCCCATTTTGCCCTCTACTGATTGCTCCCTGAGACCTCCCAAGAGCCCCCAGCTCAACTGACCCCTCTGGGCCCATGGACTTCACCCTTCAGCAACAAATAGCATGGTAACACCAACCCGGGGCCCAAGGATTCTGGGAACTCAGGGGCCACGCTGCCTGGGGCTCCTCGCCTATGCCCCCAAGTTCTAGGCATGGGCCCTGAACTCTTCTTTGGGTCTGTTTCAGGAACTGGTGCTCATATGTGGTGACCCGCATTGTCTCGTGCCATATTCAGAATGGCACCTACCTTCAACGAGTACTGCCCAATTGTCCCTGGCCCATGAGCTGTCCTGGGAACAGGTAAGTTGAGCTGTGATAGAGAAAGTACTAATGGGCAAAGGTTAGGTTTCATTGAGTGCAGGGCAAAGCTGGGGCCACAGGAGTAGGTAAAGCCAGGGGGCAATGACCCTATACTTATTCTGAGCACCTCCCGTGTGCTCCAGAGATGCCCCCTGAAGAGGCACCCCACCCTGCACTCACCTCTCTTCCTGAGTGTTCTTGGGCGGCAGGCCAGCCCAGCTTGCAGGGGCTTCCTGTCCAGTTGGTATCCAAACCCTCCCACCTAGGAGGAGTGGGAGGGCTGAACCCCAGAATGCAGGGTAAGAGAGGCTTCCAAAGAGCACACTGGAAGAGGCAGACGGGACTGAGGGATAGGTTGCAAAAGGCCCCTGTCTAAGCTGGACCACTCTTTCAGCTACAGAACTGTGGTGAGACCCACATACAAGGTGATGTACAAGACAGTGACCGCCCGCGAGTGGAGATGCTGCCCTGGGCACTCAGGGCCAAGCTGCGAAGAAGGTAAGACTGCCCACTGGCTCCGGAGCCCCTGCGGTAGTCAGGTGCCTCCCATGCTGGAGCCACTGCAAAGAGCTGCAGAGAGAATCTTAGCCCATATAGAAGTCATTGCCTACTGTCCTGGGGCAGTGGCCGAATGCCTCTTGGCAGACTCAAAGGATCCCTGGGGGAAATTTTGTATGTGCTGTGTAGCTCACATTTGAAGTCACATCACTGTATAATCCAAACGTAGGAAATCCTGAGCTGACATTTCCATGGCATGTGGTGGCAGACATCACATGGAATTGCCATTTCATTCAGAATGGCTCAGTAAGGTGGGGATGGTTGGTTCTAAGGTGATGGGCACCTAACTCCTAATAGTAGTCAGGATTTGAACCCTGGTCTTCTTGGCTCTAATACATACCGCTTCTCCCTGCCTCCAGGGCTTTGGGGATTGGCGGACTTCACTGGGCACCCAGTCCCACTGTGCATGTCCCAGACCGAGGGTCTGGCATTCAGTCTCCCTGTGACCCCACCCACCTTCTCTGAGGTTTAGGGTGGCCCAGGCCAAGCACCCAGCAAGGATACAAGGGAGAAAGCCCCACCTAACCAGACCAAGAGTCCTGGTGTGGCACTGTGGTTTAATGAGCCAGATTGTAAAGCAGTTTGAACTGCAAGGTCAGTGGTTCAAGCTCACCAGCTACTCCTTGGAAACCCTATACAGGGTCACTATGGGTCGGAATTGACTAGACGGCACTTAGCAACAACAACAACAACAAGGTCAGGCCCCACAACCACCTGAATAGCCTGTACCCAAGGTCACCTTTCTCTCTGCTGGGCATCCCAGTCACTCCCACTCCCACTGCCTGATGGAGCCCACTAAGCTCAGATTTTGGGGCACTGAGGGGTGCATTCCCAAAAGGGGCCCTAAAGAGGTTGAACTGGCCTTGAACCAGCCAAGACCTAGGCCTGTTGCCCACAAGAGGCAGCTCGATGGAAACAAGCTTTCCAAGCACAAAGGCAGAACATAAATGCCGTTGTCGGGAGCACCCTGATTCTAGAAATGTGAGCAACCGTCCTGGCACTAACAGAATTCACCATCCACTGAGGCTTCAAGAGAGATTGCCAGTTCACACATGGAGCCCCTGAAGAGGTGGTGTCCCCTATTCAAAGCCCCACAGCTAGGAGGGCAGAACTCACATGCAGTAGGAAAGGGCAGGGCCATGGCAGATTCCAAATATGGCTTCAAAGGGCTAAGCCCAGTGAGGTCCCTAGTAGAGGCAGCAGGGAAGCTGGGAGTGGGCAGGTGTGTGAAGGAAACCAGGATCCGCACCCTCACTGGGAAAGGAAGGTGAAGAGAAGCCAAAGGAAGAAGGGAAGGTGGTGAGACCTAAGGGGCAGGCAGAGAGGCAGCTGGGAGGGACCCGTGCCAAAGAGGCCACAGAGGAGCCAGTGGTGGGGAGGGTGTGCATCCCTAGAGTGTGGGGGCCGCCTGGCTTAGAGACATGAATAGACAGGGCCTGCCAAGACAAAGAAAACTCTGTCTTTGGCTTCCCTCCCAAGGGTAGCCCTTCCTGGGTTCCCGGAGCCTTCAAGGAGTGGCCAAGGGTGGAAGAAAGGTGGAGGCAATACACGTGCCTCCCTTGAGTCCGGCCACAGGGGACTGCACATCCAGAAGGCTACTGATGGTGATAGGGCAGCAAAATGCACTGGGGCCAGGCCAGCCCTCACATCTGCCAGTCCCCACCCTGGGACGGGGTTGTCCAGAGCTGCATGGGCCAGACAACACACCAGCTGTGTGGCCTTGAGCCAGGAACTCCCTGGTGCATTGTGCAAGCATTGTACTCGGGTGCCCGGCTGGGGAGGCGGGTGAGGCTGGAAGCTGACGGCAGGCTTCTTGTGCCCACTCGGAGGGAGGACATCAAGTTGCCAGCACACTTGCAATAGCCTGAGCTGCCCCTAACCAAGAACCACTTTCTAACCTGTGCAAGGGGCAGGGTGAGAGGGTCTGGCTCCTGGGGATGCTGTGAAGTGATGAGTCAGCTTATGATGACTGACAGTCAGGAGGGGCCTCTCCCCATTCATAGGGTTGGACAGAGCAAAAGGAAGTGGGAGAGAGGATACTCAGGCCTGACCATTCTGGAAAACTGCTCTGCTGGAGCTCAGTGATGAGGAGCAGTGGGTCATGGGGACATTGCTGTTCCATCCCAGGCCCAGCCCTTCCTCCTGAAAGCAGGGTTCAAGACTGGGCTCCCGCCAGCTGTTTCCTGTGCTGGTGAGTGTCCTCCTGGCCTACCTAATGTCATGGCCTGACCCTGGGCTGCATAGCTACATCACCAGAGACAACCGAGTCTGGGAGCAACCTGAGGTGAACTGCAGAAGAGAGGGAACACTGGCCTTTCCAGACTCCAGCTCTGCTGTGTGGCCTGGGGCAAGTTGCTTCACCTCTCTGAGCTTCTGCTTTATCTGGAAGTTGTCTAGGATTGAGAAGTAGGGACTCACATCTGGCATATAATAAATGCTCAATAAATGTCTCCCACCTACCCCCTTCTGCCCCTGGGCTGGGGATGCTGTGGTGACTCTTAAGAAGGACCCTGTCTCCTTCCCCTTACTCCATTTCTCAATAAGCTGCTCAACACACAGGTCTTTACCGCACCTAGCCCTGACTTTCTTATCTGCAGAATAGGGGGGATAAGATGATGAATGACTATAGTCTAACTTGATGTTTACAACTCATGGAGAAATGGCAAAAATGGGCCCCATTTTATAGATGGGGAAACTCCGACTCAGAGAAGTTAAGTGTTTATCAGTCATTCAGCATCTAAGAGCTAGGATTGGAACCTGCCAGACTACGCATCCCCTCCCATAGGCCGTGGGGAGCTGGGCTGGATGGTAGGGAGGGGCCTGGTGATCCTTCCATTTGGCTGCCCACTTGTGCTAGACACAACATAGGAGGAAGGGCCAAGGCAGGGTTACATCACATGGGCAGCCTGCCTAGAAGACTGGGCACAGGTAGGCAGGTGGACAGGCACAGTGACAGGGCTATGTCAGGAGGCGGGCAGGCCTGTTCCTGACCCCATGAGTATCCCAGGCAGACAGGCTCTGCTGAGGAAGATACAGCTCTTGTGTCACCCCAGCCCTGGGCTCCCTGTAGACGTATCTCTCTCCCATCAGTCCATTGTCCAGATGATGAAAGTGAGGTTGTGGGTCTTACACAAGATCACACATCGATACGGCTCATGGCTGGGATTCTCCCCAGGGCCTGTCTGCACTGTCTCAAACCCTCTGGAAGCCATAATATGGATGGGGGTGGGGGTGAAAGTTGCCAATCTTCTTTGTGCCAAGACCTGAGGTGCTCTCCTTTGTCCCATCATCCTGCCATGTTATTGAAGGTCCAGGTGTGGAAGCTGAGCTTCAGAGAGGGGAGTGCCTTGGTCAGATTGCAAGAGGTGGAGTTACACTCAAACTTAGTCTGAACCCAGAGCCAGCATTCTTTCCCTGCAGCAGAATGGCTGTTGACTTGGAGGTGCACGTGTTCAGACAGCTAGGGTGCTTTGCGGCTGGTGGAAGTGGGTCTCAACTCAACCCCTCCTAGAAAGAAAGATAGAGGGGTTGGGGGCTCCCTCCTCACTGCCCCTTCCTCTTTCTCATCGTCCCCACTGTCCTCAGAGCACTGGTCCCTTTTCATCTTAGACTCGGTTCTCTAGAGAAGCAAAACCAGTGAAGTGTACACACACACATATGGAGCACAGTGACTGTAGGATAAACACTGGATTACAAACCACAAGGTCAGTGGTTTGAGGACACCAGCTGCTCTGTGGGAGAAAGATGAGACTTTATGTTCCTACAAAGATTATAGCCTCAGCAACCTTATACAGGCCCGCTTGGAGTCAGAGTCAGAACCAACTTAACAGCACTTAACAACAACAAATACATATATATATATATATATATATATATATATATATATAGAGAGAGAGAGAGAGAGAGAGAGAGAGAGAGATGTATCTCAGAGAAATGGCTCATGCATTTGTGGGGACTTGCAATTACCAAATCTGTGGGTCAGGCATCAGGCTAGAGGCTTCTTCTGACTTATGTGGTTGCAGGGGCCAACACAGCCACAACTGACACATCAAATGACAGCCTGTTGGCTCACAGGGTAGAAACGGGTGAATCCCAAAATTGGCACGTTAGGTGGCAGGCTGCAAATGCTGGGAAATCCCTGAATAGGCAGGTCAGACTATAGGCTTCTACCTCGAGTCCCAACAACCAGAGGTCAGATGATGATCAGCCTGATGCATGATCAAAAAAAGGGAAAGCCTTGCTCAAGTATCCATATGCATGGAGGGGATTGTAATCATGGCAATGAAACGATATGATAGGATGAATGTATTGGCAAGCTTGCTAAGTATTGGCCCCTAGCTGACGCCATAATTATGCCTTTAGAAGGCTGTTCCATCATTTTATCATGCCAGCTGCTTCAGGATGAGGGGGAACATGGTAAGACTGGATTATTCCATAAGCATGGGCCCATTGCTACACTTCATTTGTTGTAGAATGAGTCCCTTGATCTGAGGCAATATTGTACAGGATCCCATGATAATGAATAAGGCATTCTGTGTTCATTTTGGCAAAAGCATTGCAGGCAGGGGAGGCTAATTGCATCCAGAATAAGTGTCTATCCCAGTAAGAACAAAACACTGCCCTTTCCATGGTAGACATGGTTCAATGTAATCAACCTGGCTGATAACCTCAAGGAATTGTGCCGTTCCAGGGGCTCTGTGCTGGTAGCTTCTGCTGGCAGATTGGGCACTTGACAGTGACTGTAGCCAAGTCAGCCTTGGTGAGTAGAAGTTGTTGAGCCTATGTTTAGCCTCTGTCCCTACCACTGTGGTCACTTTGTTCATGAGCCCACTGGACAATGGCAGGAATGGCTGGGGAAAGAGGATAACTGGTTTCCATAGAGCACGTTATTCTACCCACTTGATTTAAAATCCTCCTCTGCTGAGGTCACCATTTGGTGG